ACGGGGACACGAAGGGCAGCAACGGGGCCACGAAGGGCGACAGCGGGGCCACGAAGGGCATGCAGATGGGGCCACCACGGGCGCGAACGAGCGGGGGCCACGAAGGGCATACATACATGGGGCCACGAAACAAAGCGGTGGGGCCACGACGGGCTGCAACGGGACCACGAAGGGCAGCGAGGGGGCCACGAAGGGCTGCAACGGGGCCACGAAGGGCAGCGAGGGGGCCACGAAGGGCTGCAACGGGGCCACGAAGGGCTGCAACGGGCCACGAAGGGCAGCGAGGGGGCAACGAAGGGCTGCAACGGGGCCACGAAACAAAGCGAGGGGGCCACGAAGGGATGCAACGGGGCCACGAAGGGCAGCGAGGAGGCCACGAGGGGCTGCAACGGGGCCACGAAACAAAGCGAGGGGGCCACGAAGGGCTGCAACGGGGCCGCGAAACAAAGCCAGAGGGCCACGAAGGGCTGCAACGGGGCCACGAAGGGCAGCGAGATCCCGATTCCCAGGTAATCTGTAAAGGAGTCCTAAGCGTGAGCGCGACTCCTGGGTGCCTGGGTGTCGGGAGCGCGGCGCTGGAGTAAATTGCAAGAAATTCCAACGCAAGGGCGCTATTCTTCAGTAAATTGCAAGCAAGTCTCCAACGAGAGCGCGTCTCCAGAGCGCAGGAGGAGCGATTCCTGAATAAATCGTAAGGAATTCCCAAGCGAGAGCGCGATTCTTGGATCAAATGCGAGGAAGTCTCGGGCGGGAGCGGGGGTCCTGGCTAAATTGTGAGGAAGTCTCAGGCGGGAGCCGTTGTTGTTGTAACCCGGGGGCAAAGGGGTCAGTTTGAGCAGGAAGATTTTCCTTGACAAAAAACCAGGTGCGAGCCCCGGTGGGGCACTTCAATTGAAAAAATCCATGTGCACCGGTGAGGGGGGATCAACAATAATTATTCTTCAAGAATGAGAGTTCAACAACAACAGCAACAACAACAACAACAACAACAGCAACAATAACATCAACAACAACAACAACAGCAGCAACAACAACAGCAGCAAAAAACAGCAGCAACAAAAACATTACCAACAACAGCTACGACTACGACTACGACTACGACTACGCCCACTACGACTGCGACTACGACGACGACGACGACTACGACTACGACTACGACTACTACTACTACTACTCCTCCTCCTCCTACTACTCCTACTACTACTACTCCTCCTCCTACTACCAGTGCTAGTACTAGTACTAGTACTAGTACTAGTACTAGTACTAGTACTAGTACTAGTACTAGTACTAGTACTAGTACTAGTACTAGTTACTACTACTACTACTACTACTACTACTACTACTACTACTACTACTTACTACTACTACTACTTACTACGACTACTACGACTACTACGACTACTACTACTACTACTGCTACTGCTACTACTACTACTACTACCACTACTACTACTACTACTACTGTTACTACTACTACTACTACTACTACTACTACTACTACTACTACTACTACTACTACTACTACTATTACTACAGTTTTCGTGTACTTCAGCGAGTGCGCGCGCATAGGAATCTCGCATTGTGGGTGAAAAAGCAATGCTGTGCTGATTGCGCGTGTTCAGAACTAGTGTGCACACATTGGTTTTGGAATGACTTCAAAATGTGGGCGCGCAAATGCCCCACATGCTGTCTTACACAGCGCACTCGGTCGATCACCGCGTGTGCCCACCGTGGTGTTATCTGTCAGGGATGGCGGGGGGGCAATACCAGTCGGCTGAGCATGCTGAACGGCAGAGCGAGTAGGCAGCGTGGTTGCCAAAAATGGCCGGCGATGAGGAAGGAGGACGAGGAGGAGGAGGAGGAACATGAGGAGGAGGAGGAGGAGAACCAGATGAGGAGCAAAACTCGAAGCCGCTGTGTATCACGTGGTGCAAGCTACGTGGTGCAATCCATGTGGCGCAAGCTATGTTGTGCGAGTTATGTGGTAGAAACGTGGAACAATAATCGCAATGATCTTCACGTCGTCGAGAGATGCCAAGCACGAACCGGCAACTTCGAGCGTATTGGGCGCGTGCCTGGCTATGGTGAGGCGGGCGGCCAAGACTGCGAAGAGGGCGGGCAGTTGCTCCTGCGGCTCTGCTGCGTCCCGAGACCGAGCCACTCGCCAAGCCTCCCAAACGAAGCCGGCACGTCTTCGCGAGGCGCTTGAAGATCTTGATGCGAGGCACGAACGCCAGCTCGGATGCATTGCAAGAAGCTGGGCCACCCAGTACGGCAGGTTCGCGTCGTGACGACCCCGACGTTGGTTTCTGACACGGCGTGAATCGTTCAATCTTGAAGGATCGGCGACTTTTCGATCGCCCAATCGTTGCATGTAGGCCGATTCTGGTCCACTGGCGGCGTTCAACCTTGAACGCCCGCGGCGGGGTCACCGCCGGTCGGCACGACGCGAGTCTACTGTAGATCAACACGGACTGTTTCGCACGTCCCCGCGCATTGACCGAACGGGCAGACATACGCCGCGCAGGACTGGTCGGCATTATGGGCGGGGCAACGAGCGGCAGACATGCGCTGGCGCCTGCAGACACATGCTGGCGCGGTCGCGGTATTATGGGCGGGGCAATGGGCGGCAGGTAGAATGAAATGGAGCCCACACCATGCATGATTGTATGCACTGCTTTGGTATACAGCACGGCGTGACTCAGCTGAAGACGACGAAGGCGATGAAGGTGATAGCTGCTTGAGCAAAGCTGCGATGCTGGCCTCGCGTTTGGAAACGGCCCAAACCCCTTGATTGGAGCAACGTCTAGTAGGAGTGACATCGTGTGAACAGAGCCGCAGGTCACGCGCGAGCAATGAAGCATGCAGATCACGAGCCCAAGCGGCATAATTGATCATCACGAAAACCGACCCCAGGGAATCACACGCTGGATGAGTGCCAATCTGAGAAGGGGGGGATACCTTGTTGCATGTGTTCTTCTTCCACTGCGTGACAGCCCACATTGTAAGCTTCACCACCCCGTCGAAATCTCGCAGGGGGGCACCGCGACTTACAGCCCAGCTGGGGACCGCGCCGCATACGACATCGTAGGAGCAGAGATGCTAAGGACATAGTGCTAAACCTGGTCATCCTACGATGGCCCAGCATGCGCCGAATCCGAGACAGCAGCAGCAGCGCAACAGCTTCCCAAAGTGACTCACACCTCACATTCTAAACTTCAAGTATGGATTGGAGGTCTTACCGCTGTTCCTGTCAAGGAAACCTTGGAGCATTCCACATGCAACAGTTGCTCGTGCTTGGTCAAGACGAACAAGACTTCTGCGATTCCATGAAAATCCAGACTGGGTTCCTAATCAGGTCCTCCAAGCTCAGGCCCCGCAGCTCCATCACCAAGGAAACCGCGGGGCGGCGGTGGTAACGCACTCCTGCACGGCAAGCGGCGCAACGATCTGCTTTGGCTTTTTTGACAAGATACCCACAGGCATCGCTGCACCTGCCTGATCAACTTCTCCGTGGAGCGCTCAAATGCATCTCAGTACTGCCTAAAAAAATGCGGTAGATGGTGCGCCCGCCCCTGCCCACCTCGTCGTCGTAGACAGTGCAAAGAGGCAGCGGCAGTCTTCCACTTGCAACAGAAGCCCATGAACCCCAAGATGGCCCCAACCAATCCGCCCATCCGTTCGCTGCATGCCGTGGTCTGCGAAGAGAACTACTGTCGCGGCGCAAAGTGGGTCAGCCGAGCCAACTCAACGCGCCCCTGGGCAGGTCGCAGCGTTACCTCATTCCTGAAGACCAACTGTCTGGCGGTCGGAGTACCACTGCTTCTCCTTTCGCAATTACGTACCAGGCAGCCTCACGCATGCTCCGTCGTCTTCGACATTGCTGATGACAGGTCTGGATGACACCCGTCGGCTCTTCTTCCGCCGCAGGTTGAATCTAGGCTGGTACTAACTCGAAGGCGCCATTGCCTTGAGCAGTAGTATGCCCACACGGGCGGGGTAACCAGAAAGCAAGAGTGCATTTCTATCCCGACTGTGGCGGCCCTTGATTACCTGTCACCTACTCATATGTTTGGGCCAGTCTCAAAGAAAAGACTCAAAAAATGCCGTCATCACCCAGCTTAGTCAGGCAAGCAATCTAGTCATCTGCTCCACTCCATGCGTACACCGCTGGTCGCTATCTGTGTCCGGCCAGCAGTCCACTCCCCCCCCTGTGGGAACATGCGTTGCCCAGGGACCGCTGGCACCCCACCTCGTGAGTCCCTCTTTTCATGTGGCCTGCACACAGAAGGCCAGGGAGAGGAGCAGAAGGATACGCAGGAGCATCAGTGACCTTCTTGTCTTGCCGCTGCCGCGAAGACCGCAGGCGGGCCTCGCATTGCGCCATCCTGTCGAGGGCGTACTTGTAGCCTAGGTGGTGGATGTCGTAGATGTTGTTGGTGGCGTTGGAGGGCGCGCTCTTCACCTCCAAGTAGCTGTAGTGGAGGAGCACCAGATTCCTGATCGTGTTGTCCATGGAAGAAGTCGGAGCCGACCACGCACAGCAGGATGCGCGTGAGGAGGAGGAGGAGGAGGAGGAGGAGGAGCGGGAGCGGGAGGAGCACCCGCAGCAGCGCAGCGGAGCTGCCCTGCTGGTGTTCCTGGGCCGCCCAGCAGGAGCATGTACTCGGGACTTTTGCTTGTCGTCTCGCGGCGGCGGCCCCTGGCGACACGCGATGCTCTGCGAGCGGACAGCGTGCGTGTCGTTCCGCTCCTTACGGGGAAAACGCAGGAAAAAATCCTAACCGTAAGCGGGCATAGACGGACGACCACGGCAGCGGCCTCCGCGTGGCCTTAGACGTAGTCGAATTTGATGTTGTGTGGGTTGGAGTCGACGGCGGAACAGGAGCAGGAAGAGAAGGAGAAGGAGAAGAATCAAGACGGGAAGAAAAAGGACCCCCAGGCCCCACGCCCCTTCCGCTCTCCCCTGCTCAACCTTGCAGTTCGGCTGCGGGCCGCGCCTTCTGGCCCCACAATTGCCACTTGTGCAGGCGGGTGTAGAGCCTGTGCCGAGATCGCCGGCGCATTGATTCGCGTTCTTCTTCCTCCTCCTCCTCCTCCTCCTCGATCCCCTTCCCCTCCTCTTCTCCATCCTCGTCCTCCTCATCATGATTGTTAGCGTCACTCTCCCCATACTATTCCTCACCCTTTCCCGCATCATCATCATCATCATCATCATCATCATCATCATCATCATCATCATCATCATCATCATCATCATCATCATCATCATCATCATCATCATCATCAGCATTATCATCATCATCATCATCAGCATCATCATCATCATCATCATCATCATCACCATCATCGTCATCATCATCATCATCATCATCATCATCATCATCATCGCCAACACCATCATCGTAGGCATCATCATCACCAACATCAGCATCACTGTCACCACCGTGATGTGTTCAGCACTGCTTCTCATGATCAACATCGCCCTCCGCCTAGTATTCCTTTGCCTCGTTAGCACCGTTATCATCCACGTCCCAAACCTTCCCTTATCCACCTCCCCTTCCTCCTCCTCCTCCTCCTTCCCTCTCCTCCTCCTCCTTTTCCTCCTCCTTCTCCTCCTCCTCCTCCTCCACCTGTTCCCAATAGGGACCAATAGGGACCAGTTCGGATGAGTCATACAGAGCACAACACATCACTCGGGCACAAGCCCAGATCAAGGAGACTGGGGGATCACCCCAGTCGCGAAATACTTGCACCTGCCCAACGCACGATCATTCATGGGGAGGGTGCCGTGCAAGAGACATGTAACGAGCGGCAGCTTACCATTCACAAACAGCCGTCTTTCTCTGGATTTGAAGCTCTCAATACACGTCTTCCCCAGAGTGAGCGCCTTAGTCGCCCCGTAGTGTCTACACCTGGTGCACCAGACAACAGGCACGTCGGAGCCCACAACCCACGACACGTTCAGACGATGGCCGTCAGGAATCGGGAGCCCTCAGGACAGTCAACAAGACGGAGGTAAGGCACGACAGGGGTGTTAGTCAGTGCAGAGATCTTCCTTAAACAACACGAACATCTGTAGTGATCCATTTGCCAGCGAGGGACATGTGGGTTTCTCAGAAGCCTACCAACCCTCGCACGCACAGATCCATTGCTGATGTCAAAAACTTCAGCGGTGGGGGCCCACAAGGACAGGATGTTACCAATTCGGAGAAAAACTCCCCTATACAATTTGACAGCACTTGTGAGCTTATCGGCTGTTGGCTGATCGAATTCATGCGTTCGGGCGCCTTGGCCTGCCAGCCAGCCCGCGGCTTTGTTGCATCGGATGTCGAACAGGCCGGCGTCGCCTGACGCAGTTGATTCCTCTTGTGGGCCTTCACTTTGTGGAAGCTAACCCAAGAGGTCTGGTCAATATCGAGCGCCACCTGTCTCCAGAAATGCCCGTGGTCGTTTTTAGGCCCCAGGGCAAAGGCGGGAGACATCTGAGCCCACAAAAGGGCCCTAACATCCACCATCTGGGGCCTCATAGCTCCAGCACCTTGTTTAATGCGCGCGCACGCTTGCACGACAGCTATGTGCCCACCAATCGCCGAGCTCTGGCCAAGCAAGGCGGGGACAGCATCATTGATGCCTCTGACCAGGTCTCATGAACCCGCTCTAGCAACGTACCCACCAGTTGGCCTAAGGCAGGAGCCATCTTCATAAAGCCTGTCGCTTGGGTCGAATTCGAACGAATCTACGACTATCCCACCCTGAAAATAATGGATGGCCAACGTGTCGGACGGAGGGGCACATTTAATCGAGCCAGCCAACCCCTCGAAAACAACAGACTGGGGGCACCTGCTGTAAGGGCTTGGTTGAGTATCTCTTCTGAGAAGATCTCCGATCCCTCAGCATTCGCGAAACTACACCCAAAACATGTGTGGAAAACCGTACCTTCTTTCCCACAACCGCGGGGGCAGAGGAGGTCAACACTACATCCCCACTTCCTGAGATTGGACGCCGCGGGTACGCACCCACCGAAAACATTCCTACAGCACAAGACCTGTCGTTGGGCCATGTCGCGTTTACGACTCAACGCTTTGTAGCTCAATTCCCACCACAGACCCTGATTCAGGAAAGCCTCTGAATCAGGGTTGGGGTGGGTTTCACGAACTGTCTTGGCCGCAGACTGGATCCTGGCGTATACATATATATATACACATACATATATATATATATATATATATATATATATATATATGTTGCTGTTCAAACTGTTTGGCTATGAAAGACGGGGCTTGGACGGAGGCAGCCAGCGAGTGGCCTCGGAGATCTCGAAACACAGACGGCCCCTCGAAAGTCCACCCCGCCTCCAGACACCGCAGCAGAAGGTCACTCATTGGGCCCCGACCCTCTTTAAACCATTGTTCCTTCAGACGATTTGAATTGAACCGAGCCCTGGCTGCCGCGAACAGCTTGGTCAGACGATCAGCCCAAAGTACATCAGAATGGAGGTGTTGCAGGTCTTCCCGAGGAACAGAACTCATCCACCATTCAGCACAATATCTCTCGATAGAAGCTGTCGCCACATATTTTGGACCTTTGGTTCCGGAGAGAGACTTCCCCAGTTCTATCTTCAAACCGCGTAGACTCCGGCCACAAGACTTCGACACCTGAAATCGTAGGCGGAACACCTGCGAGGGGCTGAAAGCGTTTACCACCGCACCGTAGACGACAACGGGTACTGCATTGGCCACAGTGAATCTCGATTTGTGGCCTTTATGTGATCACTCCATACTGGATATATGTTCCCTTTTGGCTCTCATTTTTCGCCACCTGTGTGCTCTGGTACTGTGCGCTTTGGGATGTGCCTTGTGCCTCCCTCCTGCGAAATCGATGCCGAGGTTCCTGGCTGCGCACTCTCCAGGGCCACCCATGCTGCCGAGCGCACTCTTTGCCAGCATCATCATTTTGCCATAGGAAGTCACCATTTTCAACTTGCGCATAGCGAGCGGCAGTCCGCGTTCTGTTTGAAGGCGATGTCCGACACGATGTGCATGTTGTTTAATTTCTTTCAGGACGTCGATCATGACTGGTTCCCACTGATGTTGAGATAAGCCATCTATGTGGAGTGGAAGCATAGAGCTGCCACGCGGCCTTCTCGCAACCTCATCTTCAATTAAAAACGCGGGGCAAGCATGGCCTCGAAGGTGGCCTTGGAGCTTCCTGCTACAATCCCGCGACCAGGACAGAGAGGACCCATGAGGATCTGATCATATTTCAGTAAGCGTTCCCATGCATGAGTGGACATAGAAAGCCGCAGAGCTTCCACTGGGAACTCCACCAAGACTGAGTTGCACATGATGGGGCCCCAGGGCGCGTGCTCGTAGAACTGCAGCAAGTCCCAGAAAACTGACATGTAAAATTGGTTCGTGCTCTCACTTCCTTCTGCCAGTGCTGCTTGGGGCCACGCAGTGTTACCAGGCCCGCGACGCTGCCCCGTGGAATATGTTTGGCCAAGGCCATTGTTACAATCCGACTGTCTTAGACGGTGCTTGCCAAATCTGTCACTACTGCGCATCGGAGCTGGATAGAACCCCCGCGGGCGTCCACCACCTGCAGCCCTGTGCGTTAATTGCACAATGAGTCCCTCAATCGATGTCGGAGCCGATCCTGTCGCGTCCATAAGCATCAGAGCTTTGCCGAAACCCATGACTGCAGAATCATCCAGGAAAGACGACTGTCTTGGGTGCCACCCACTAGGCTAGCACGTCTGCAACTTGAACCTTTTACTCTGGTACCTGATGTCTTCGGCTTTGGGCAGAGGCATGACAGACAGGGAAAGGTGGATGCTGGCAAGCGCTGCCGCTAGGGGATCCCCCACAATGCCAGGCCTTGGACCACTTATCGCTCGGGAGAGGAATGCCGGGGCATAATCTGCAGGTCCTGTGAGTTGTAGCTTCAACGGCATGGGCTTGCACTTCAGATATCCATGAGCAGCTTTAGCACCATTGCCCACGGCACCGTCGCACCATTCCTTCCACTGCCGCGATCGGATCTGCGACGTCGGAAGGAGGATGCAATCATGAATATGTCGCGCATATGTTAGGACTTCCCGCAACCAAACAATCCCAAAGACACGTTCACACCTGATCAGACTGCCCACACTGCGCAAGAGAGAAGTCCAACACATAGCTCCTTCTTTCCAGCAACGCCCAAACAGGGCCGTTCTTGCGCTTGGGTAACTTCGCGAGGTCTTCCACTAAACTGCGCCAGTACTTGTTAGTCTTGCCGTCGAGGAAGAGGGTCTTTCTCGCCAAGATTATGCATTGCCCATGAGAGCGCACGCTGCGGATGTAGCTTGTGACACGAGTGCGCGAGGGTGACTTTTCTGCACGGTGCCATATCCCACTCAGGCCCTGCGCCACCTGCAAGACCAGGTGCATCATACCCCGCGGGCGTCAACACATCTTCTTGCCACGCGAGCTTGTTCCAACCATCGTGCACCTCATCCAGAACTTCGATGGCCTTCCCACGGCCTTCACCCACGAAAGCGCACTGCTGCTCTGCCGGGCCAGCGCCGAGGGAGAAGAACCGGTTGTCTAACTTGCCACTGAGGTGAGTGTACGTTTCTGGATCTTGTTCAGACATTAATCCGGTCATGCGCGTCCCTGGCGGTTGCTGGAACTTCTCCGGCACGTGCAACACTTCCATCCCAGCAGACTGCTTGAATCGAAGACGGACAGGGCGATGTGGACCAGTTGGTGCATCAGCCAGAACACATACACCATGAATCATCTTCTCGGTGCGCTTTTTTTACCCGGAAGAATCTATCTTGGATCCACTGCTGTCCAACACATACGAGGGAGTAGCAGGGTTGCCTCTCACGATGCCCTCTAGGATGTGCAAGGGCAATACAGAGTCGAACGCTGACGGAGACTTGCACCAGTCGCCTCCCATGATGCACAGGGCCCCGTGGATGAGCGCCTGTTCGCCGAGGAGACGCGCGATCTTCAAGTTGCGCGGCATGAGACCCTCTCCCACGAACAGGCAGCATG